AAAATAAATCAAGCATCAACCGTCATTTTGTGGGCTTTGAATGAAGTATTTGAGAAGTCAGAAACAGTATGACGAAGGTGCTGATTGAATATTTGACATGTACTTTAGTATAGCCGAGCCAACCGAAATATACCGTTACCGAAGTGGTTGGCACACATTCAACGTAAAACGAAAATAGGGGAAGATGTGGGCAATCAATTTGGAAATGTAATTGGTACAGCAACAAATTATTTGAAATTGTCATAGTCAATAATAATAAAGCCATCTTCGCTTGGTTCCACTATATAAGGTTGACTTATTATGGATACTAGGCAACTCCAAAGTCATACTATTAGATACAAATATGAGTTTCTATCAACTACTTCAAGAAATCCCCATACATTTTGTTTTATTTGGGAAATCTGATTGAAATCTTCATTTTGACGTTGATTTACACCAATTATACTTCACTGTACTTCAGTTCATATGCGAATCTCAACAACTGTTCCACATATTCCTTTCATAACTGAATGTATTCGTTGCCATATATTTGTTAAAGTACTGTAATTATAGCGGCTGAAGCGAAAGTAACAACTAAATCACTTATTAGTATAGCTTGACGGACCACCCTGAAAGGCATGTGAATTTTTAGTGAACAGGCTTTCAACGTTGTGGAACTTAGACAATGATAGTGCACCCTGTTGTTTCCGTTAGCGGCTTCGTACTTAACTAAGGACTAATGGTCCTATCTGAGAGCATTTATTACTGAAATTTACGCGTTGTCCCCTATTTCGAAGAAGCCAAACTGGTGGGTGCAGTAGGATTTTACTGAGATCGTGGAACAGTACTGTAGTAGTAAATAATCTCCCAAAGTAGATTTTTCTGTAAGTTTTCGACGTTGATGTTGACCTTATTCGTTTTGCTAGACACACCTAATGAAGGCTCTCGTCCACTCACTCGCACCAGATCACGAGTGGGTACGCCATGCTACACATCCTTCGCAACTACTACCCAGCTAAGACTAAACGCTTCATAACATATCTATAGCCTTTGAAACATATCTTCGAATCGCTTCATTTATGATTCCCGATTTGAATGAATCGGCTTACTTGGGTTGAAAATGTGTTACAGATAAGTAAGTCGTCAAACTTCGAATATCTGTGGCATCTTCAGGTGTTCACCTGTTCTCTGATAGGTTTAGTCGCTCCTGGGCTTGTTGCGTATCCGAAAAATTCCAAACTTTGAACTCCGAAAACAACTACATTGATATACTCTCATTCTTTTTATTTAGCCGTCCAAACACTCCTCTCGTGTTATGAGATTTTAGATCCGAACTGCCGATTAACAAATTATCCCGAAGCCTAGCCACTTCAACTTGTGATGGTGACTTATTACCTGATGTTTCCCTCTGATAAAGCCTTTGGATTATTTGGCCGTCTGATGGCAACAGATGGTTCATTGTCTCAAGTCTTAAAACGGTGCATGGTTAGGGGGAATCAAAATTAAGTTGCACGCTTCTTCGGTAACTGAAGGAGAGAGGATAGCAAGTTATCTCAGCTATAATATGTCTCGTAAACTAATTCTGTGACTGAGCACAGAGCAACCCAAAGCCACTTCGATCCAATTATTGAAGTTATGCTTTCACATTCCAAGTATTATCTAATTCTTCCGGTGACAACTTATACTTATCTTACAGACTTTCACTTTGTATTCAGTCTGACACGCATTAAGTGACAAATGTATGAGTGTAATATAAAAGGCGTGAAAAAATGACTCCAGCGCAGTTACTGTGTAATATATATATATATATATATATATATATATATATATATATATAACTTACGTTCACGATAAATTTACTGATATATCAGGTTTCGTTTTACGACCTAAAAAAATAGGTAACACAGAAGCTTCTGGCATTCAAAACAGGGCTTACTAATTAGGTACTGGAAGTTACCCTTCGTTTTTCGTTTCAAAGAAGCCAAACTGATTGCTGTAGTAGGTTTTTACTCAGATCGTGAAACAGTACAATTGGAGAGCAGATTATAATTTCAACCGCGTAAAAAGGTTACAAAATTCAATATGGGATAATAGGAAATGTAATGCCAGCTCAAAATAAGGAAGTAAATATTTGAGCCGTAATGTTCTGACATTAACAAGATGTTTTGGGGATATTTTTAAGCACCCAATTTAAGTTGTCACAAATATACCAACTTTCATCCACCCAAACATTCGAAACAATAATTTTTGACGCGAGAATAATTATCCCTGCTCACTATTCTATAAGCATGTAGTGTATAGAATGTAGACCACTAGTATGGATGGTCTGTGTCGAAAACTTAGGGGCCTAACCGAGTTAGACGCCAATGGTGTGACCAACCAGATAACGTCAAAGTCATACGGCGTGCTTAATACCTAACACAGATCAACCTTTCGTCGTATCCAAGTACTATGGCTACCTTGATGACCATACAACACAAACGACATTATTGCAGAACAGGTACAAGTAGCAGAGTGCGACCACAGCTGTATGGGCCGTCCGAGACGTGCAATTAATTGGTGCGCGTTGGTTTTCCTTGACCTTGACGAGTACCAGTGAACTGTTTGACATTCAGTGACCAGACTGCAGTATGATTTGGCTCGGGCACAGTAACATTTCACTGGCTCTACAAGAATTTTAAAACAATTTCCTGTTCAACTACTGGGTCAGTAGTTCGATTTTCACTGGAAGTTTCGTTTCAATCATCTAAGGCTATTTACATTTGTAGTGTGGCATTGAGTCGCGTTTACCTATGATCACCACTGCAAGAAGACTACGTGCAAGTTAACCAATAAGATCCCCTGTAGGCCAAATATCAGAAGACAGTTGATGGCTGTAGTCGAGATGTATTTGCTGGCGATCTCGTGGTATCGAAAGAATACCGAGATCCTGTCAGATTACAAGTGGGGTTACTGAGCGTAACCGAATTCGTACAAGGTCACAGTCAACGGAAGAAAGAAGAATGTCTTTGGTACAGTTAAACAAACAAGTACAGTAAAACAATCACTGATACAATTGGTTATAATAGTAATTTTTTCCATTACACCAGTCGCGTTCTGTTGACAAAAGTAGGTCACTACACATTTGTCTTTAATGGATGGTACACAGTAGCTCAGTGCAAATTCCCAGAATAAAATATCAGACGAAGTGAAATTTTTCTTCCCATATTTTTTTATTATTATAAGCTTTATTCAATATTATATTTTTGGTACAATATAGAATTCTCAGCATAAAGTATTTCAACAGGTTTCCTTTTCTTATATCTTGATCGATCCTGACGATAAATATTGAGTGGTGGCCAGTTAGATGTTAGGAGTTCGGTAATCGACAACTGAATAATGTTCATTCGTTTCAATGCACATTGCAAGCCACTATGATGTCGCTGGTTGTACCTTTTTTAATCTGTACAGAGAAAGGTTGTAAACTTTTCATAAACGCGCCTGAATAAATTGTGAGCTCAATAGACATAAGTGTGTGTTAAAACAAACAAGAAAACGGATAACTTGGCGAAATATCTAGATGGGAGGAACAGGTAGCCCAGATATTCAAGCAAGCCGCCGGATTACAACATGAACTCGCTGAATGGACTGGGAACGCTTGATATTGACCATTTATCAACGAACATTGATTTTATCCAAGTTCTTCCGTTTCACAACCAAGTTTAGTATTGGACAACCCATATTTATATCGAAAGGTGTAATCAAGTCACTATTTGGATTGAGGTAGTTTAAGGATCAGAGAATAGGCGCGCAAATATAAAAATGGCGCTCGTAGGGCCGAAGTGCTCGGTAGTCCTTCTTCTTCTCAGTGTTTGGGGGATATTGATGCTCGTAAGTCCTAAAAAGTTAATTAAACTGAATATTAAAGATTTTGCATATGCAGATATGAACTCTGGAATGAATTATCTCGCCTTAACTGTTCTCAGATTTTAAATACTTTCGTCAAGTAAATTTAGGAGAATATTCTATAATAATTAGGAGTACTTAAACTAATCTTCTAACTAAGAGTTCTCGAAATAGTGTAAATTAAGGTGTGTGGATTTAGTGACGCTTTCGTCTGAGGACATGTACCTGATTATTCATAAGAAATTCTTATTCAAAGTAATGAACCTTTTTCAACATTCCATTTCTAATTCATGTGTTCACGTTAAAAACCGTGGGATTAAATTTACATGTCTACCTTTCTATCTGTGAACCAATTCTCTACCTGAATTATGTCCTTATATGCAGTCTTTTTTTATACATCCCTACCATTGAAGCAACTGCTTCTATGGATTTAATGTTCGTCTTGCGCTAATGAGGTATGACATTTCGGGCCGATGCATATATGTGCTTGTTCCTACGTTTTAGATAACTGACTTTCAGGGCTGGCCTGCCTCAACATCTGAACTAAGGATAAGGAGTGAATTAGTCGAACGCGTTGACAACTTCACTTATCTTGGAAGTCTGGTCAACCCTAATGAGTTGGTGTCTCAGCACGGATTCGAAAAGCTCATTTGGCTTTTGCCAATTCACATCACCTGTGGCAAAGGCGAGATATCCGTCTATCAATAAAAGGACGATTATACTGCGCGACAGTTCGTTCCGTACTAATATACGGCTGCGAAACATGGCCTTTGAGAGTAGAAGATATTCGTAAGTTACTAGTATTTGACCACAGGTGCCTTAGAAATATTGCGGGTATCTGCTGGGATCAACGGGTAAGTAATAGTGAGGTTAGACGCAGGGTACTAGGGAATGATGGTAAATTAGTTGATGAGGTTATGAATCTTCATCGACTGAGATGTTTAGGCCACGAGTTGCGTATGCCTGAACACCGATTACCACGACGGGCAATGCTCACTGGTGTAGGGGATAATTGGAAGAAAGTTAGGGGCGGCCAATCCAAAACGTGGCATCAGTGCTTGAAGTCACTAACTTCTGGTCTGAGCCATGTTGGAAGATTCAGACTGCCTGGTTGGGGTCCGCGTGACTATCGTAACCAATGGTTGGAGATTGAGTGACATGGCTCAGAATCGACCACAATGAAGTTGGTGTATACACTCTGTCTTCCCTTAAACTGTGAGACTAAAATTACTTCATACCTTCCTACGAACTAACTTTCTTCCTGTACTATATCATTATATGCAATCTTCTTTTATTTATTACCACCATTGAATTAACTACTATGAATTTTGGTGTTCATCTTGCTGTGCTAATGAGGTGTGGCAACTTGGACCGATGCACATATGTGCGTGGTCCTACGTTGTAATTGACTGACTTAAAAGAGCACTCCATTCTAGAATATCAGGTTACTGAAAGTGTATTTCTAAAGTCTGCGTAAGCGGTCCTATCAAAATCATGTAATTTATAGTTACGATTTGTTAGAAAAACGACCTGTATAAAACCAGTGGATATTAACAAACTTTTCAAACTATTGATACTCAAAATTTGTCAGAACATGAACACGACTAATAAAGAAGCTATGTCTATTGACTATTCGGGTCTTGTTAAGGTCTTCAGTAAGTTACTTGTTATACCTTTTATTGGTAAACTAATATAGATGAGCACCATAACAATTAGATTTACATGCTCAGTTTTAGCTGTACTCTTAAAATTAGTAATATTGTCTGACTGTCCAAATCGAAATAGGTAAAACGACGTCCAAACCACTGTCCAATAATTGAAACTCCAGTGTTTTAACCACTAAGACACCCTCTACTTTGTCATTAAAACATGTAACTAAAGATTTCAGTAGGTAAGTGCTGAGAGTCCGTATTATGTAAGTAGACAGACAATCCAGTGACCATGCCGAAACCACTGACCTTGTCTCAGTTATACGTAACCCAAACCACAAGCTTTAATGAGATATATTGCTGCTGGAACTTCGTAAAATACTCTTTTCGTCTAGTCAATGGAGTAGCTGTACTTTGTGCTTTACTCTATGGGTAGATGAGAAATTATACGTAGTCATCACTCAACGTTATCAGTAAAATAAAAGGATCGTGAATTAGACAAGCTTAGAAACATAATTATCGTTGCATTTTATCACAAGCGTCCGTCCATTTGTATTACGAATCCACCGTCATCACTTGTCCACAGGGAAGTTAAATCCAATGTAAAGCTCTCACGTCAGACTTTAGACATAACTCTGTTGGGTCACTAAAATTTTACTACCATGCCTTGTGACCAGAATATAATACCTGCTTCTATAAACTGAGAAAATTTTTAACTTCCCAGCACTTCATTTCATGGTGATGGGAACCCCAAAAAGCACATTTATTCTTGGTTGAGATTTTAAAAGTCAGATATTTTAGTATCTTAAGTATGTGTACCGCTAATTCCGTCATCCTTTTATTGAATACCTTATTTTTTCTGCAGTTTTAGATATAACGGTTATACTACCTTATAGTGTTTTAATGCATTTGAATAGTTTACGGTCAACTACTAGTATCAGGACTTTTTCTGCTATATAGACTTCCTATTAATCGATAGTTCTAACCTTACCTTGTCTAATTGTTTTGTTTACAGCTTCTTATGGGTGTTTTTGCACGCGTAAATGCAGTCGCATTCTCTGAAGACATACCACTAAATGAAACAGCTTGGGCTGCTAGTGGCTATGCTCCCTTACATGTAGAGGAAGCTTATGTAATGGTGTCAAATAACTGTTTTATAGCTGCTGGGATCTACGTCGTTCTGCTAATTTTTTCAGGTGTTCAATACTATTTCAATAAACGAGCTAACTACTTAGCGCATTAAAGCCAACTATTCCATTTACATATGCATAATATTTACCATTTTTGTAAAATCCTTTCTAAATTAGAGTCATTGGTCTATAAAGCTTAGCCGATAAGTGGAGCCCTTAACATGTAATTCTTAATCAATAAACTGTGTCAAATTGTACTAATTATGTAGATTGCTATCGTACTCGTTAATTGTTTGAAAGATTACTTACGATAACACCTTATGTTTTGCTTTATATCTGTTTATGAAAGATAATTGTGTGCGCCAAGAAAATAAGTACACTAGTAGTACAAGGCATCTACAATTTAGCTAAAGTTCCTCTCACAACATGTTGGAATGTCTATAGGAAACTGAAAATCCGAATTTGCGTCCACATATTAGTTTAAAGTGTATATATATAAGGAGAGAGACGAGCATAGACTTACAATATTATTTTAATATTTAAATCACGGTTATTAACACATCTACATTTGGAGTACAGGCACAAAACAAAAACAAGATAGAAAGAGAAGTAAAATGTTAATTCCATATTCAAGATATCACACAACAATAGTTAAATACATTATGGATTTTCATAGGCAAAGAAAATAGTAAAAGGTGAAAGCAACCGAAGTATAAGAGTACCCCGAGTTCCTGATCCACTCACTAGTGTACTTATGTAATATTTGTTCACCCATAAATAAATTAGTTGAGTTAGATTCAAATCACAAAATCAAGAGATGGCGCTCTTTGTCCGTCAATAACAATTAGTATTATTGTCTTTACTCTCAATTAATACACAATAGTCGAGTGAATAGAAATCATATCAGTAGTTTGAAATCATAACAGTTTAAATCATTATCAATAGATAGTAAAGTTATTTAAGCAAGACAACAAATGTATAGATAATAAAAAAGCTTTGCCAAATTTATGATGTTTGTTTACGATATAAATAATCTGAAATCATTAAACGGGACAAAAAATTAAAAGCTGTAAAAAGTAGGCTCATGTATACATATTTATAGGTGAGTATATATATATAGGTAAATTATAGGAATGATTAAGAGGATCTTCCAATTTAAATGTTTTGTATCATCAACAACATGAAACAAGAATAACGAATACGTATTAAACCTGGTGTACAGAGAGATGAGGTAGCTGTATATCATCAAAGACTGAATGTATAATGTGTATAAACTGGAAAGTGTAAATTAGTAACTACAACCCTCATTCTGTCTGTAAACGAAGAATTTAGAAAAATGTACAAATTTCGTCTTTTTATAATTACTGAATGAAAAGATCTTGAGAAGAAGATAAACGTTGAAACCACCCTTTTTATACTGGCACAAATAATCGCTAGTTCATATTTTGTTAAGTATTATAATTATCTATTTTTGTCATGTAAAACCACTTCAAATATTTGTTTTCAGCATAGAACTTAATAAGCAGTAATCTTTTGAACGGAATGGCGCTGAAAGCAAGAAGGCGCTTTATCTTCTCAGTCCTTTCAAATTTGATGCGGTTTGATAAGAAAGACGTTATAGGAGGGAAACTATTTCATCTATGATTAAATATTATGTATCCTAACACTGATTCCTAGGCTAAGTCATTAGTTTCGTCGTTCGCAAATGATATACTATTTACTGGTTCTGTGTTTTGACTGTTTAGTTCAATGTTTGTGACTGTAATCTCACAAGAAGCTGATCTACTCTGTGGAGACGTCTGGTCAGGGCGGAGTAACAACGAAGAGGAAGAATTATCAATTTTCTCCGTCATATTATTAGGGAGAGAATCCCCGGTGAAATTTGTCACACTATCTTCCAAACCAGACCTCGAAGCTTGTTTGTTAGGAGGTTTGACATGATTTAAACCGGGCTTGTAATCCAGAGAATTATCCGGCAGGCATGAATTCATTACTAATTGACTTTGAGTAAATAGGTCATTTGATTCTAGTAAGTATGGGAGGATCTGAGCAATCGATACAGAACCAAGTAAATCTGGCAGTTAAAAAAAGGAAAGTTTGACAGTTTATTTTGTAGTTACATGAAACAAAGCATACTTTAAAATGTTAATCGGTGTATGGTAATTGCATTCGATAGTAAGTTATAAATAACTACTACCTCATGGAACTAAGGTCAGTAAGTGCTAATATTTGTATAAACTATTGACTCCGTGTTGAGTAGGCTTGCCGTGATTATTATTTGGATGACCTCGGAATAATCTAGTAGAGTGTCCTTGGAACTCGCTATCCGCATACTAATGGGCAACTTAATTCACTTCATTTGCCGAATCCTTCTCAAATAAGATTGTTGTTTAACGGTCGTGGTTAGTTTTTTAAATGATGGAAATTTATTTAGAACCGAAATGTTTGCAGTTAATCCTATTGGATATCAGGGAACATCATGTTAACCGAATTCTAACTGTTAACTTGACTAGACAGCCTCATACTTGGTTTTTGAATATGAACTGTAGCAACGACAATCTAAATCCAAGGACATCTAAATTATACATAATGGATAGGATTTTATATACATATCCTCCCTTACATTGATACGTCATCATTGATGTACACTTCTCGAATAAACAGAAAATTTTACTTACAAGTTCGATCATATCCACATAGCGTGGAGTCACAAACTATGAGCTGCTTAGTTACTGCCACGATAACGACTAAGGATTCTTCTAATATTACGACTCAAGGTATAGGAACTAGAATGGGCTGGATATCTGCACACAACAACACTTCAACGTCAATAGTAAACACGCTAATAGGCAAAACAGAACTTTATATTCCTTACAGAAGTGAAATTTGAGGAGGAACAGCTCTGTTCTTATGGTAACAAGCAATGGTCTTCGGGCACTTGATACAGTAAATTAAGGACGATGATAACCAAGCAACAGCAAATGTTAGCGGAAAAATGAACTAGAAAAATATCAGGGCTACCCTTTAAAAAAAAACTAGGTAAGCTGATCTCTACCTAAAATTTACTTTGATGATAATTTGGAGACTGTCATTAGTTAATAAACTACTAGTCAGGAGAGATTATTTTTAACAAAGAAAAATATATTCACAGTCTTAGAGTATCGAGAGTAATCCCATGTACGCTGATGCGTTGTATGGTTTAACAAAATATACACTTTTATTTTTAAGAAGAAAAAAATGAACTCACTTGAGAAAAATGCTTCTTCTAAATCTTTTGGATCTAAGTAGCGTAGTGTAGATAATAACTGTGTCAATATAAGAACTCTTTTAATAATAGGTTTTGTTCTTTTCGATGAAAGAGAACCAGTACCAGTAGTTGTAGAGGATGCTGCACGTGTAGACAAGAATTCAGAAAATTCGCTTAATACACGTGATTCCATATCAGTAATTTGTTTAGCTAGGCTGGCATCTCTTGCATTGATGCATAAACGACCTTGAAAAATTAGTAAAACAAGAATTTATTAAAAGTTGTACAATGTCTATAAATTCCTATTGTTGAATAAGATTAGTTTGAAATTATCATGGATAGGTAAATTTATATCCAATAAACTAATGAATATGACAGTATAATAATATCTAAAATGTAATCCTATACTGATTAGAACTTTTACAAACTGAAGTTAAGATCAAGAAAGTCTATAAATAATATTGATAATCAATAGATATATATGAACTAAAAGAAAATAATTCCCAAAATTAATTAATGTAGTCTTATATCAATATATGAATCAATAATTAATCAGTAGTTAGTTCTCGACATTCAGCTCAATGAGAACTAATGTAAAATTTCATGTAAAGAAAAAAAATGATTTCCTTTGAATCATTGCTAAAGAAAAATTATACTATTTTACCTACCGTTTAACAATAGATATTATTTTAAATGAATATGACGTAATAATAACTAACTCAACTTTATTTAATGGTAATAGAATATGTAAAAAAAAAACAATGTAACATTAAAATAAATAATATCATTTTACCTACCGGAGCTAAGTATAACCATACATCTAAGATAAGTATATTCATGTGTGTCAACTTCAGCTCCTGAGAATTGTTTCATCAGCTGTTCCACTAGTTCTATCACAGCCGAAGATGATGAAGAATTTGTCTTTAAGTATGAAGTATCCATTGGTTCTTTGATAGGTGAAATATGTGAAGATGATGATGAATCAAAACTATTGGATTTAAATGAACTAGTTGGTGCAATATTGCAAGGAGAATTTGTTTGTTGTTCTACTGAGATTTGCCTAACTGTCAATTGTAAAGTAGATTATTTAAAAATAATGTAAGTAAATAAAATGAATATTATCAATACCATAAACGAAATAGACCCAATCAAAGAAAATACAAGTTATTCATTAATTTAATCTAAGTACAGTTTTGATGTTCAGAGTAGTAGTAAAACATTTACCTATAAAATAATCAAGTTGAACACATTAGGAAGAGGATAATTTCTGAAGTATCAATAAGGATTTATATTAAATCATTCGAAACTACAATATGATCTAGTCAATTTGATAAATCAATTAAACTTAGTTTATGGTAACCTGTATATAACAATCTAGAACATCCTAGAAGTAATAAATTTTTATTTCACATTAAACGATCAGTAATTTATAAAAGTTGCTAGTAAGATTTGTAGAAATTCTTTTAAAATTTAAGACAATTAGCAACAATACAAACATAGACACAGCTGTAAAAATATAAGCTTGGAGTATTCTTTTTTATTTATTTAAAACATAAGAGAATATACAAAATATGCTCCATTGATAATGCTTCATTGATAATATTGCGAAGAAACACAGAAAAGGTAGTAAAATGAATTAGAATGGTATTTGACTAGAGATACCATTCAGTTAAAAATACAACAAGATCGGAAGGGCTAGGTTTGCAAAATATACTAGAACTGTTCTCACCAATACGTGAACTCAACCTACTACAACCACACAATGATCATGAATTTCCAAGATTTGCTTAAGCTATTCCGGCCTTCACTATACGTATATGGATCTCATATCTGCTATGCCAATCCAGCACTAACACAACTGCTCAGATAGACGAGTTTTTTCAACCGTTTATTATAAAGACGAAATGCAGAAACAGGCCTTTCTCCGTCTTGCAGAAGCACTTGACGAGAAGAAAGTACATGATTCACAATGATATTAATTTCCAATTGAATATCAAGTATATCATCGCGCAGTAAAACAATGTTATCCATTCACTCACAGCCGAAATCTTTCATCATGTAACACTCATTCCATCATCGCATACTTCCTTCACAGCTGCCTACAGAATATGGTTAATGATGGAACTATACGACACATACAAACCCCCACTGTTTGGTTAGAATAATAGAGAAATGTGGTAGTATGATCTCACTCAGCCTGAAGTTTGTATACAGAGCCTCCAAAATATTAATAAACTTCACAGCTACACTCTACATCAACGGACAATCCTGTTCAACAAATCGAAACGTCCGTGATATCACGAAACACAACGAATGCTGATTTGTCATAAGTGTGGTGGTGTTGTAACAATTAACGAAGGCGAAAATATGATCACTGTATCCTCGACCGAAACGAAAACCAACCTGTTCCTCCCAAGCAAATATTTTAAGTTTTTTTTCGAAAATCTGAAGACAACAAAGTAAGTCAAAAATTTAGAAGCAACGAAAGCACTGTTGAATAAATTAGGTAGAGCCTTACTAAGAATGAGGATGACGACCACTTCATTGCAAAATAATGAAAAACTCTCCGTCCCCATATTACTTTCATACGATCCACCCAGTTCGCTGACCAGCGGTTCTCCAACGTAATTGGAAAGTGCCGGCGAAAGGTCGCCTGGTAACTTGTGATGTGTTTCAAAGGGTAAGTTTCTTTCTCAACCAGCTTCTGGTTTAGATAGCTTTGTATTCCGTTAATTATTACTTTAAGCAACCAGACAATATAAAGCCCTAGAAGTCAGATAAATCACTTTTACGTAGATAAATTGGTTTATACATATATGACAAATTATTCTACATACGAGAACACTTTCTAGTATTCATCAGAAATTTTTATTATTATCAATTGTTCAAAGAAGCGTAAGTCCACTCGAGTTTTAGCGTTCAATGTTTACTACTTTGAAATAAAAAAGTAATAATACGTATCAATGTGTTTATATCAATATAAAAATAAGCTGTTGCCGTAATAATGATAAACCTGACACACAAATATCAAACAAATGTTTTTTTTAACAAAAACTGACTACTACTAATCGTTATAGTAGCTTCGCGATAATTGCAAACATTATTGTCTCACCTCTTGTAGAATTAATGTCGTTTTGTGCACATAAGCTATTTGTTGGTTGCGAGTCGTTTGTTTCTTGATTTGGCCTATGATTCTGAGAACGATTAATTTGGTCAGCTGCTTGACATAATCCAAGCACAAAAAGGTCAGACCAGGAAATAGCCACTAAATCACGTTGAACTCCAATTCTAAAAGGAAAGTAAAACTCAATTATTTATTAAAAACATTAATAAAATCATCATTATATTGTGTGTTGTGTAATTAGAAGTGACATCAATGTTTTCAAAAGTCACAGTTCAAGGTGAAGATAACACTTAAATAAAAGTTAGCTAAGAAAATCTAAATGATCCGAAAGTGTCAGGAAGGTAAAGCATAAGAGCTGATCACTATCATATTAATGATTAATGTAAGCAAAAACTATTTACTATAAGGAGCAGTGTTGCCGAGTTTTATGAAACTCATTGAAACACTAATCAGTGAGAAATCAAAATTTTTTATATACTAAAATATCAAATCAATTGGTGGTTTAGATAATATAATGTGGGCAAATGTTAAATTTTTTTTATTCTCTAGTATCTAGTAAGTAACTAGTTGATTTTGTGTTCATTTGAAACTAAGAATGAATATCTACTCATTTTATCAGTACCTACAAAGTATGAAATCATTGAAATTTTTCCCTTAACAACTGTGACAATCCTACATTTATTTCTTAACTGTCAAATAACAATTCAGTACACCTTGATTTCATCATGGTAACTAAATATATCGTAATCTCTGTACAACAAAATCATTGTTCAATTTTGTAATCAAGTGTTTATGCTAAACTTAAAATTGATTCATGCTTAATACAATCAATCTCTTATATCATTTAAAAGATACAGGAAAAGTTAAATAATTTATTGTATCGATAAATCTATGACATAACACAATAATTTCACTATCAGTGAAAACAAAACAACAAAAATAATAGATGAGATTGATTATGAACAAATTAGATAGTAAATTTAAGAAAATTATAATTTCTACATTTATCTGAATAAAGTTTAGATTTTAAAAAGATTTAGAAAAGAATATAAGATCAACTCGATTCATTCTAAATATATCACACTTATCGAGTTAAAAATGACCTGGACACTGCTAGAGTATAACACACACATATATGATTAGTTCTAAATAGTTGAATTATTCCAAGTGCACATAATTGATAACACTCGATTTATAGTGATTAAAACTAATATATATATATATATATATATATATATATATATATATATATATATATATATATATATATATATATATATATATATATAAAATACTTTTAACGGATTAGTTACCAATATTACTACTTATGATCTATCCATTATACTCGTATCTACATACACAAACACAAGCAGAAACTTGATAAAACAATTAGAAACAAGGAGATTTTATTTTTCTTCTCACCACCATATAAAGTAGTTTAACCCAGTTTGAAGATTTAATAAACGTCATAAGAAAAAAAAATGTATAAATGTAAGCATGATTCAATGACGAAAAAAAAAATATGCATGATTCACTTTTCTTCTGTTTTCAGTTTGATGAATAAACTAGTGTTAAAAAATTGATACAAAGATGTTTTTTTAAAAACCTACACAGTATATTCTAGGTCACAAAATGTTGAATTTATTATTATTACTATTAAATAATAGATTAATGATAAATCTAATCTCAATTGATTTGTACCCTATTTAAGATGACGTGAGACTAGCATAAAGACACAGTTTTTAAGTTAATACTTTAACATGTTTAACATATTTGATATTCACTTTATATATTGTATCATCTAAAGATGAAATCATAGAAACCTTTTATAATGTAAGTTTAACATTTAAGAAAGGTTTTTGTGTGTGTGTGTGTGTATGTATGTGGATGTATCCGAGAGTAGAAGCAAACTGTTGTTCATTAACTTTCTGATGTTAACGATTCTCCAACAGATACTACCTCATAATAATATAGACCAACAAAAACTAATACTTGTCAGAAACAAAAGAAAAAAAGATCTCTCGAATTTCTAAAACTTAATCTTAAATACACATAATAAAAGGTTATTTTAATTAAATTCACTGTAGATAGAATTCTATAACATGTTAGTTCCGAACTGTCTAAACATAAAGTAGATTAATGATCATATATATTTGTTTGTTTTTTTCAACAACAAAAAAGTAGTTTAGTTTGAATAATAGTTTTACCTTACGAAATGAAAATTATTATTTTCAACTACCTTCTTTTTTTTAAAAAAAAACAAATTCTTATGAATTATAAATACTTCTTACAGTATTAAAAATACATTTTCACATTTCAATCTCCAAATACTGATATAAATAGATTCACGAGTACCTACCTTAATAAAGATTATACTATCTGGATATGATTCTAAATATTCAGATTGTAGAAATTAATAACTATGTATTGTACAATCTTCCGTAAATTTAGTATGCATAAAACAAACATTAATGAAAATAAGTACTGATATATATATATATATATATATATATATATATATATATATATATAATTTCGCTTACGGTAGACGCTTCAAACCATCAAAACGACGTAACCAATCCACAGTAAGAAACAGAACCCGTGAAGCTAATTCACTTGATATACTAAGAGATCGATTGTTATTATTATTATCTTGATACGCTTTGAAAACGTGTGCATTTAAATCAAACATTGAATTCAATAAAACTGGCCCGACCAAAGGACTATTAGGTCTAGAATCATCTGGAGATTTGGTACATTCAGAAACACATTCCATTAGCCGACTTTCATCATCATCTTCACATGTTTCTCGCGTACCAGTTAATCCAATAGAATTATTTGTGTCAGGTTGCAATGAATTACTACTTTGTGTTCGTCGACGGATTGATCTGGCATTGTTATTAACATCGGAAGGAAACGAATAATGCATTTTGCGTTTACGACTTCTTGACCAATTTGTTTCCTCTTTCTTCGGAGATGGATTTAATAATTCATTTTCTGATCGTAATGCTGTTACATCGGATGATGAAGTAAGCTCAAACTTTTTCGGTAGTAAATGACTGCTTACATCTAAATCAAACAAAAATATAGTCAAAATAAAGTAAAAACTAAGTGACGATCTACGTATACCATATGTATATAATAATGTATTCAGTGTTAATGAAATAAATCACATTGTTATCATGAATATTGAATAATAACATACATTTACATTAAGAATCATAATGATGGATAATAATAATAATAATAATAATAATAATCTTATTCAACATTGGATTTAATTACTGATCATTAAACTAGGATGTCGCATAAGTGTTCATCGGTGCAAGTTATTATAAATCCTATACATTACATTATAAGTAAAGGAGATCAAATTAACTTCAATTATCTGAGGTATTTGAAATAACTGACTCAATATTTATACTAATCATAGTATCTCAATGACAAGTTTCTAATCATATATATGGTGTATGCTACTTATGTTTACAGATATAAGTAGTATGTATCACCAGTCGGAAGTGGAATATCTGCGAGTAGAAGCTTTAGAAGAGAAAAGGAAACTGAAGGCAATCAAGATAACAACAGGAATGAAGGAACAATGATGCTTGTAAGAGACGATTCAAAGAAGATGTGCAAATGATGTGTTTGAAGCATGATTTTCACATTTTACTAAACCACTATGTGATTGTGCTCTGAAAAATAAGTTGATTTCCCACACACGAAACTAAAAACTGCAATATAGTTTTACTTCCATAATCTTATTGTTATATTATGAACTCTAAAAATAAAAAAAGATAGATGTACAATGAACTTATAAACTAGTTTCATTCTTCTATGTCTTTTTCACCTTATCAATAATTCGAAATGTACAAAAATCAATAGGATGATAAAGATAATTATAATTTAGATTATTTAAACCATTCTTGTCATGATTATCATTGAAATTTACGATTTTCGGTTCGATCAGTTTATGGAGTGTAAAATGAATGTACCTAGACCTCAGCGCATATTAAAAGTGAATGAATTAAAGCACTAATTACTTTAAGCAATAGCGTATTATTCACAAGATCATTTACTATGCAGCTTTATAAACATGATATTTGTTTAGTACATATTGATTATCATCAGAGTATTTATCTTCCGATTTGAAATGAGATGAACCACATAGTCAGTTGTTCAAAATTATACTCGTTAATAAATATACTAAAAGGGGTGAATAAAACAAGACGTAGCACGAGATTGAAAATTCATTTCCACTTAAACTGAGTAGTATCAGTAGATTCAGACTTCCTAATTTGAATTTGCGAGAAAATCGTGAGTCATGATTGAAGACATTGAGTGATATAACTCACAATCGGTTACAGTGGTGTAGTTGCACTTGTCATTCCATCTGTTACCTTTCTTTCGTTCATTTCATATGCTGCATCTAGTAAAAATCATATTTTCCATGTTTATATTTCCATTGTAATTTACATTATTTTCTTTTCTATATTTTCAATCTTATATTTTATTCGATTGATGTGCTGATATAAAGTGTGGCTGAGTCGACTGACCGATTCATATTATTACCTCAAACTACACTATGATAGTCAGTTTTAAACAGATACTCTCGACTATTTAGTGGAGATTTAGACTGGAATTGACCAATTAGACAGATACCTTGGGTCTATTTTTGCACTTTTAATGCTAAGAAATATATATATTTGTCAGGTGAATACACACACAAAAAAAGATTTCTAAGGTTTCCCTAAGTCTTAATGTCAGAAATCTAGATTAAAACTATTGTAATCATCTTAAATCATATGATTCAATGACATTCAATTAATAAAATAATAAAAATGTGAGCCAATCTATATGTGTTGGATTAGATTTATTTTTGGTCTGACAATAAAAAACAAAAATCTGGTATGTTCTCAGTAATAATTTGCAGTAAAAAAAGATGAAGTTTTACAGAATGATGTAAAGTGACAGATATACATCAACACGCAGGCAGTGATATATATATATCGAATGTTAAGCTCATTAGTTGTTGATATCATTACTATTAGTATGAAGTGAAATGAATACGAACAGATGATAATCAATCTAATCTGAAATTGTCCCAACATATGAATCTTCAACATTTATCGTATACTAATAGATTAAGTAAATAATAAAACACGAAATTTTCAACACTCAATAATAATCAACAAGATTAATAATAATAATAATAATAATAATAATAATAATAATAATAATAATAAAGGTCATTAATATAGTGAAATTATCATCATATTCTTTCTAAATACTTTAAAAGTGTAAGTGAATTTGCAACTATACATAAATCAATTAAACCCTATAGTTCAGAAAACGTATATCTATCTACTTATATGATATAATTAAACAACTTCATATTACACATTTACACACTCATCTATAAACATATACATATGATAGATGTAAATGTAAACATATGAATTAGATTGACAAAAAATAGAGGTTAGGAATTAAGTGATTATTCGAGGACATATTGAGGTCAAACAAACAAGGTCAAGGCTAACTTTAACAAAAAGTATACACGTGATATACATAAAATTATATAAGGATCTTCAATGTTCAAACATGAAAATGCATACATAAATACACATATATATATTTAAGCATAGATAATATATAATCTACAATTATGCTAAAGTACAACAGATAGTTAAGCCGTGTCAGCATGAATTAAAGTAGGTCAGGTAATAACAATCCAAATGGTATATATAATTTATTAAAGAATAAATCTACTACTAAACAGATATGTATGCAAATATATGTATATTTTAGTGAACCGACAAAATTATATATATATATATATATATATATATATATATATATGCCAGAATAAGGTCAAATGAAATCAGTCTAGATTAATAATCAAAGTGTATGAACTTAAAGTATTAAATGTTATAATTATCACCAACATTATCGGCACAATTATCGATTGAATATCTTTATAAATCCATTTCGGATATTAATAACAATATAAATTTATAAAAGTAATTTCAAATTAATCTACCAATAATCTACAAGTGAGTAAAATAACAAAATACATAGTTAGTGTATGAGGTTCAATTTATAAAAAAAAAACATTACGAATAGTACGCACAGAAAGTCTACACATTTATTAATACCACACAACTTAATAATACAACTGATAAGTATTAACTGATTTGTACTTCATCATTGTTGACAATGGTACTCAATAAAGAAAATATATATACGGCTCCGTCTGTCGCTCTTCCCGAGTTACTGTCGGTCCCAAGACTGGGCAAAGGAGGCGGGTTGGGCATGGGGTTAGCGACCACATCCCGTAGAAAACTAACTAGCTACAGCTCGATTTCACTTTACCAAAAAGATAAAATAGTTCATTTGCATTAGTTTCATCATGAACTACTTAAAAAGTGAACTAATAAAGAACAAAAATTTCACATATATTAGTGATTTCATATCTTAACTAATAATGATGTTCAAAGAAAAACGCTTAAAAGTAACATAATTACCTTGAATTGAAAAAACAGTTCATACCACCTTCACTAAGATCAATACTATAAAATATCATCAACCAAACAATTTAAGTATTATATTCACATTAAGAAACATTATTGTTGCGTACACTGAAAACTAGGATTGTGTAATCACAACTGATTCCCTTTGTGCCAATTTTATTTAATTATCATTATCCCTATACGACACATATAAACACAATGTATAGACAAAGCAATTATTCTAACTTACAAAGTATGTCACATCTATTGAATAAGTCTTAAAAATTATAATACGAAAAATTATAATATGAAATCATTAAACTAACAAAAAAACCCAGTTTATTTAATTCGCCCGATGTAATGGATAAAAATTATTAATTAGCTTATGCCTGTTACCCCTCATGGAGGAGCATAGACCGGCCACCAGCATTCTTCATCCAACTCCGTCCTGAGCAATCCTTTGTAGTTACTATTCATCCTTTTGACGTTTGCTTCCAAATCCCGGCGCAATGTGTTCCTTGGTCATAGCTTAGTAAAAATATACTCTCAGTAATCCATTGTGTAGTGTAATAAAAATAAATAAACTAATATGGTTCCAGTGAGAAATATCAGTAGAAAATTTTATAATTACAGGCTAAGTATAACTGATATAATATAAATACCTATGAACCATGATAAATCATAAGTACAGATACGCAATCCACATTTTCATTGAAATGTAAACCATGATCATAATGTATCTATTTGAGTTGAATCAGTCGATTAAACATGTGTGATTTTATATTTAGTGATCTCTATTATACTACTTGTTATAAAACCCCCAACTTTACAGTTTTCAGTGCAGTAATAACTTAGTTTTTAATAGTTTTGAAAAACTGATGATTGTCTATATATATATATATATATATATATATATATATATATATATATATATATATATACTACCAGCCAGTGTCAATTATACGATTTTGGTCAATTTCAAAGGAATACACAGTATTATATATATAGAACATATTTCATTCAGTAGAAAGTCAATATAACTTAACATTCGGCTAAGATTGTTTAATAACAATTACCAGAAGGAAACTGTTAAACTTTAGATATGGCCTACCTCGATAACTATTGAGTAGTTCACCAGACTCGTGTGTATTCTCTTCCATATTGTTAGCAGTGCTACTATTACTACTTCGTCTTCCTCTAACATTAGCAGTAGTAGCAACCATACTACCGCAAGAACCACTCTTAGATTTATCGTCAGTATCCATTAAAGTACTTGTCTGACTATTTGAAGTACGTTTGCACAATAGTTGTATTAAATTTGTTGACTTGATTGGTGGAGGTGCTGGTATGAATGGCGAATTATTGTTAACAACAGGATGCATGGTACTATTATTATCATTACCATTATTATTGGTATTATTATTATTATTCATAGTTGATATAGTGTTATTGAGACCAAATAGCGAAGCTGATAAGCATGAAGATGACGTGGAAGGAACAGGTATTTCAAGTGTACTCGGTGAAGTGGATGAGTGGTGAGAATTTGAAGAACCCATCTGTAATTGATGCTGATGAGAATGATGTTGAAGCATAAAGGGATGTTGCTGGTGAGAATGATGATTGATTGATGTTTTTTGTAAATGTGCTGTGGTTGAATTAACTGCATCCGTCAAAGCATTGAAATTATTGAGTCCAACATGATCTGATGAATTTAACATAATCGACATCAACACATTTAAAGCATCTGAATGACTGCTTGCACTAGATAATAATGATGATTTAGACGAATGATTTAAACCATTAGTAAGTAGCTGATTTTCTAAATTACAATGTTGTCCAAACAAACTATTTGGATTTGTTTTCATACTAAATTGTGGTGTAGAATTTTGATTTGAGTCAATTATTGTTGATGTAGTGGTCACAGGTGAAGGTTGTGCTGTTTTCAATGATGATAGTGAAGTTTTCATATCAAGTGGGTTGAAATTTTGATTTGAAGTGGATAAATGCACCGAGTGATTCTGTTGTTGGTGGTGATGATGATGATTTTCATTGTGCCGATGATGTAAAGGATTTAAAGATCCAGCTGCTGCTGCGGCAGCTAACCAGTAAGTGTATAGCGCGGCTAAACTTCGTCCTTGTTGATTTGATGACGATGATTGCAAGGAATTTATATTATTCAAGGCTAACTTAGTTAATTCATTCAAATTTAATCCACCTGTATCATCAAAAAGTGGTAAAGGATCCTGATGATTTGACACAGCTGTTGAAGATGAACATGGTGTGTTTGAGAAAGAAGTCTAAAATTGAAATATATAAATTACAATGAATCATTGGATTTAGTGTAAGCATTAAACCAACAAGCAACTAATTATATAAGAAAAATTGCTGAACTAATTATATCTAGACATATACGTAACATAATAAAAACTTAATCTATTTCTTTCTTAGTTTTGCTACCTAGCTCATTGTAAATTCATATTCATAACTTCCAAATACAGTTGACTGCTAAGATATCTGATTATACAGTCGCTTCTATTCAGATTTAACACTGGATAGATGAGCAGAAATACATACGTGCTCATTTATTTGCTCCTCTTAAATGAGGTATGCTGTGCCATAAAACCCTTGTTTACCAAACGTAGATTAATGTATTTGGCTTCGAGTTACACTCTACATGTGAAGACTAATGATGCCACCCGGCTCTTTAAGCCAAATTAGGTGGAGCGAGTTTTGAACCTGTGATTTAGTGACTGAAATGTAGACGCCTCATAACTGCTGAGTCCCCTCTCCATTGTAAAACAAAAAGGAGACACATTTTAAAAATAGGCTCGCTATACAACTATGAAATCTCTTACACAAAAAAGTTCTTCTTTATGGGCCAAGTTATTTGCGTTGCAAAAGTCGAAAAAAAAATGGTCGAAATGCTTACATCACAGTCAAATGTATCAATAGGAAACAAACTAGATTTTATTGGATTGATAATAAACAAAACAGAAATCAATATAGTAAGAATAATCGTACCGTTCTCCGAGAATAAGATTCTTGTGTTGCACCTCTTTTATTATCAGGTATATCGAAAAGCTGTGAACTAAGAAGAGTGTTTCGATTCATACAACGGCTGAAATTGGCGATTCCACAGTCTGGATCCAGGTGACTAGTTGTATGACAACCTTCTAACACATTACTATATGCGGGTAATGCACTAGCATAAGCTGTACTATTGTTATTAACAACACTACTACTACTCACTGCAGTTAATGAACGTTGACGAGTGAAAGATGATGCTGAAGTGGATGAACAAACAGCAGGAGGTTGCTGAAGGGAATGTGATGTAGCTTGGGGTGAGCTACACAAACCTGGTGTAAATTTTAATCCTACTGAATTTTGTATTACAGGAGGCTTAATATCATGTTGTAAGTAGGATGCATTATTGGGATCATTGGTTTCAACATCGGCTACTGTAGCTGAATAGGAAGATGACGATGATGAAGATGAAATATCACTTAAAGCAGAGTTTTTATTGGTTCCTGTGAAGTGATTATCATCTAAATGCTTTGATCCTACGACTCCTGGTGCCAACACCGATGATGATGATGATAACAGTCCCATTGTTGTCACTCCTGAAGACGTTGATGGCACTGACCGAGAAGAACTGGATGGAGAACTATGAGATGATAATTGGCCCTCCTCAGATTTCTGTGTTGTAAATTCCGAATGATTATTACGGTCTTCATCTTCCAATTCTTCTGAGTTCGGTTCAATTTTACATGATATTTGTTGAGATTGTGGTGAACTATTACGAACGTTTGATACTGATGGTCCAAATGTTGAAGTGTGACTATTATTATTACCATTATTAGCAGAAGTAGTAGTTGTTGTTGTTGTCGTCGTCGTCGTAGAAGTAACAGATGCAGTAGATATACTAGGATTAGGTGAACTGCCGTTATTCATATTACTACTGCCACCAGTAGTTGTACAATTTGAATTACCTGAATTATCGTTTAAAAAATTCAAAGCAAATGTATTTGTAGGTCTACGTTCATTTTGCACAGCTTCTGAACGCATGCCAACAGCTAAACATTTTTGTAGCCGACAATATTGGCAACGATTACGATAGGCTTTATTTACAAGACAATTTTGTTCACTGCGACATACGTAGCTGACGTGTCCTCGAATAGAACGTTTGAAAAATCCTTTACATCCTTCACATGATACAACACCGTAATGTCGTCCTATAGAAAAGACGAAATAAATAAAAAAACACCCATCAGTCAGCTGAAAACCAAATAAACGAAAGATACTTTAATCACCACTTGAAACATTAGTAAAAACACAACAACAAAGAAGTTCACTTACTAAGGCACCATCAAGTAGTGTTGAGATTCTAAGTTATCATGTGCAAATCATGATTCTTCACGATTACAGGTACACCTTGCTGACGAGTGCCGACTGGCATAAAACCTACATCCACGGTCTTTCCTACCAACTACCTCTAACCACCTAACATAAAACATGATAAAATTCTATTAGTCTACGCATGTCCACAATCTTTACAGCTGACCTACCATGTTAACCCATAAATTGTACTATTTCCACTCTACAATATCAAAGTTCAATGGTTATGTTGCTTTACAGCTATAAAGTAAAATGAATACTTAAGTTTTATTAAACTTTACGAACAAAGAAAATAATGTTAGAGAAGAAAACAACTTGAAGTAAACAAATAGAAAAAAGAAACAAGAATATTTTAGACATACTCTTATCCAAATAATATCATCCACACTGCATTATTACTGTCATGTACTTACAAATCATACACATGTATAAATTTAAAAAATCAAAAAGTATCTGAAAAAACTATCCTCGCCTTTTTTCATTAACAAACAAACCATAATCACTAACTAACTAACTAATAATCTATCTAGGCCAGGAAGAAAACAAAAGAAGATTTGAGCAGACAAAGGCAAAAATAAGAGTGAGAAAAAGAGAAAGATACACATACAAAGTACTAATCAATACGAAGTCAATCAATACATCCATTTGAATAACAGAGCAATAAAATGATAACAATTTGGTCTTTCAAAATGATTAAGAAAAATAGTTACAATTACTACTCATTTAAGTAATGAATGATGCACACATACACACGCACAACAGAAACAAGAAATAATAATAATAAGCAGATCTAGGATTCTGACGTCATAAAAAAGAAAACTAAATCAGTGGTCAATTCTTGGTAATCATAGTTCATTTGTTTGTTTGTTTTTGATGATGAATTGGTCATATAATGCTTATTTTATACATAAAAAATAAAGGTATTCCTCACGATTAGTTTATGTTCTGTATACGTGTAAACTGAAGCGTAAAATTTAAATGTACAACTGAAAACATACAAGTACAATCTTCAGTGAGAAAAAAAGAAAGGATACAAAACAGTAAAGTTTATGAAAAATCACCGTTATTATTAACTATTAAGTACCATAATAAATATAATTTTGTTGTATCCCAGTGAGTAGAAAGATTGTATTCCCGACGTTTCGTGACTTAATATAAGCCACTTCTTCAGAGTAAATAAGTTACATAAAGAAAGTAAATTAATTACTAGTGGATAATACTTTTTTTCTCTGTAAACAGTTTAAAGATGTTGATGTTAGAAATTGAAAACAAATGGGATAATAATTATGTCTTTGTTGTAGATTATCTTTCTAGTTCATTAAAGTACAGTGAGTAAAGCGAATTTCAAAAATACTTGACACACTAATTGAAAGTTAAAGCAGTTAAATTACAGACTCCTGTTGGTATATAACCTTGAATCACTTCTAGCTCACAAATCTTATAAAGTATACATAGTAAAATATTGAATTTATGAATTTCTGTGTGTAAGATTATAACACTTGACAGCTATGGTGACAATAGAATAAATAGGATTTGAATGAACAACATAATAAACACGACTTAATTAGCTGGATCGCAAAAGCTACCATTTTTAACATATTATAAGCATGATCTTTCGTTCAATTCTAACGATATAATAAATGTATTAATTTACTTACAAGTCAAATTCTCAGGGAATTCAAGAGTACTTTTTGCCTTAAGTATCAGGGAATAATGAATATATACGTTGTTGCATTCTGTAACTCCAAATCATTATCTCCTAGTACTTCTCTTTTTAAAAGGTTTAATTCTCAATATTTCTAACTGATCTCCTTGAGGACTTTCTATTTCAGTGCTGTTAAAAGGTTCCAATCTTAATAATTACCTCGTAATAGATTCGGTCTTTTCTTTTTCAAAGTCATCAAATGTAAATTATTGTTATCACCACAAATGGTGATTACACAAAAACTCTCTAGAATCGAATGTCACAACATACTTGATGTGTGACAGTGAAGGTGAAATATGATTTGTCACAAACAGACACAGCCTACTGACTATTAAATGTGATTTCCTTTCCTCTCGTTGATTCCTACTCTATACTCATTGAAAGTGACTGATTGCAATTGTATTGAATAAAGTATTATCTAGTCTATATTCTGATTCTCTATTCTTGGTTGTGAATCCTGGATCTTATTTAACATGAGAGAAAAAAACTTTTTAACGATCCGTTATATCAATACAGCATTGTGTTTGACATCATAAGTTTCAAAATAAGATTTATAAATGTTAACTTGACAACATTTTGATAAAAATGTATCTAATTTATTTTTATTATTTTGTACGTTAGTAATCGAGGTCGTACTTATTGATTTCTTTTATAATTTATGTTTGACATTAAACACATTTAGACTGACCTCATCAGAAATCGTTTTCAATCATGACTTAACTTTTCATCATTCAATAATAATGAGTGAACTACGAGGCGAAATTTCAATGGTTGGACGCAATTCATAACCGATAGAGTATTGAGATAGTAGAAAGATTCATTTGATGGGAATTCGCCATCCAGTCAATTTTTATGCGTTTAGTAAACTAAAATTATGATGATGATAATAATAATAAAAGTTAACTTTTTAGGGTATAACCATGTACTTCTACTACTTTGCAAATAATATTACAGCGTAACAAATTAAATATTCATTTCACAATAACAACACTTAATGAATTATTCAAGCACCTTGAAATGGTCAGCCATAGGTTTCCAAGGCTTAATACTGACTGAATATCGAATCTCCAGTGTGTGTTGAATGAGAAATGTCATGGGAAATTCTGACTTATACCTCCTGTGTGACAGTGCCATCCAACATATAAATGACCTCGCACCACGTGGACTGACAGGGCAACACAAATGCATGTGTTCGCCTTGAGATCCTCAGAAAATCGATGGGTTTAAGTCACAGCTTAAAGATGAGTCGACCAGTTTTTCTTCTTCAGATTTGAAAAACAATAAACAATGACTGAAACAAATAATTTACCGACCTGAAGCTTTATCTCCACAAACTTTACATGGTTCCCATGATTGGTTGTCATTCGATAAATTTACAGCTGTTTGATTCATATTCAAACCAGTGTTAGGTGATGTACCGACAACAGTACAGCCATTTAAAAGTAGAGAATTAGGTGACGATGCCACAGTTTCATTTGGAGGATAAAATTCCCCAGTAGGAGGATTAGACTGATTAGGACAAATGAAAGATGGTGTAGATGATGAAGAGGGTGGGCTAGAAGCCAATGTAATAGGTTCAGGTGATATCCTTGAAGATGGTCGGACAAACGAATTACGAGGATTGCTGTTATTACTACAGTTATTAGTACTATTTGGAGAGTGAAGAGATAAAAAACTTGAAGCTAGTGAATAGGTTGGTGGAATCAACTTTTCCGAACTACAATTAGATTCATCGTTGCTCATCGATCGACAATCCTTTAGACTAGTATATTGTCCAGATTGAGAAATATTAGATACGGAATTCCTTCCCGGTCCAAGGTGAGATGTATAAGCATTTGATCCCGTATTAATATTCAACATTTGTTTAAACAAAAGACTCTGCAAAGCGGATGATAAATTTTCATCAGTTGGGAAGATCGGATTGAATCCATCAGTTGCCTGGAAATATTAACACGAAACAAAATTTGAGACAAAAAATTACTATGAATTATAGTAGAACACAGGCATACTTATCGGCGTCCGACAATGGTGCTATTCCTTGACTTAAAAGCAACGTTTGACTCTGTTGACCGAGAGGTACTGTGGCAGTGTCTGTCATTGAAAGGCGTACCTCAGAAGTACATAAACCTTGTGAAGGCTCTTTACTCGAACACTACTAGTCGAGTTAGAGTTAATGGCGAACTTTCATCTGCTTTTGCAACCTCAAGTGGTGTCCGTCAAGACTGTCCACTTTCTCCATTTTTGTTTAACTTTATCATAGACATCCTGATGGAAATAACGCTCTCATCGACTGAATTCTCGGGTATTGATCTCCTACCACGAGGCCCACTTACCGACTTAGAATACGCAGATGACATAGTCCTGTTTGGTGAAGTCGCTGATAAAATGCAGGGTCTTTTAGTAGCATTGAGCAACAATGCCAGAATGTTTGGGATGCGCTTCTCTCCCTCTAAATGCAAGTTGTTGCTTCAGGACTGGTCTTCATCAACACCTGAACTAAGGATAGGGAGTGAAGTAGTCGAACGCGTTGACAACTTCACTTATCTTGAAAGTCTGATCAGCCCTAATGGGTTGGTGTCTGACGAAATCTCAGCAGGGATTCGAAAAGCTCGTTTGGCCTTTGCCAACTTACGTCATCTATGGCGAAGGCGAGATATCCGTCTATCAATTAAGGGACGAGTATATTGAGCGGCAGTTCGTTCCGTTCTACTATACGGCTGCGAAACATGGCCTTTGAGAGTAGAAGATATTCGTAAGTTACTAGTATTTGACCACAGATGCCTTAGAAATATTGCGGGTATCTGCTGGGATCAACGGGTAAGTAATAGTGAGGTTAGACGCAGGGTACTAGGGAATGATGGTAAATTAGTTGATGAGGTTATGAATCTTCATCGACTGAGATAGTTAGGCCACGTTCTGCGTATGTCCGAACACCGATTACCACGACGCGCAATGCTCACTGGTGTAGGGGATAATTGGAAGAAAGTTAGGGGCGGCCAATCCAAAACGTGGCATCAGTGCTTGAAGGCACTAACTTCTGGTCTGAGCCATGTTGGAAGATTCAGACTGCCTGGTTGGGGTCCGCGTGACTATCGTAACCAATGGTTGGAGATTGAGTGACATGGCTCAGAATCGACCACAATGAAGTTGGTGTATACACTCTGTCTTCCCTTAAACTGTGAGACTAAAATTACTTCATACCTTCCTACGAACTAACTTTCTTCCTGTACTATATCATTATATGCAATCTTCTTTTATTTATTACCACCATTGAATTAACTACTCCTATGAATCCGGTGTTCATCTTGTTGTGCTAATGAGGTATGGCAACTTGGAACGATGCATATACGTGCCTGGTCCTACGTTGCAGCTGACTGACTGGTGAATTATAGTCAACTAAAATCCATGTAGTAAGTAGACATGTGTAACGAAAAGCAGCTCAAAAATTAAGCAAACAAAATTCCCTTAGTGTCTAATTTTTTTATTTCAAAGTCTTCACAATAAGACGGATAATAACACAGTGAAAAAATAATATCCATACAGCCCATAACAAAACAAGAAAGCGGACTAGTACTACAACTTACACTTACCAAATTTCCAAGCTGATTCACAATATTGGAAGGCGGAGGAGTTACGGCAGCAGCCGCAGCAGCAGCAGATAGTTGTGCAAGAAGATCAAAAGAAACGTTGCCTGGAGGATTTGTACTGTTACTACTTTCATTGGATAAAATTTGACCAGACGGTGACACTTTCTGAATTCCAGTCGTTGCTTTACGATTAGATAAATTAGTTAACTGTTGAAAGGTTTGGCTTAATGATCCACTGTCAAGCATGTCGTTAGACAATAAACTATGGGGAGAAGACTGATCAAATGCAGGAGAAACTGATAAACTGATTAACGACTCCAAGACTTGACGTAAATGAATATTGCAATTGGCACCATCTATCTCAGAAGATAAGGTGCTAAGAGGATTTAAAGGATTTGTGAGTGAACCAGTGGAACAACTAGAAGGGTTTAAATTTCCTGTCCCAGAAAGAAGAGACAGTAAGGCAGCTGAATCCAATGGAGGTGTTTCTTTCTTGGATTTAACTTTATGTCTAGTATTCTACAAATAAACAGACAAAAAAATATTTTAAAGCGATCTATATGAGCGGAGCAATAATCTATGTTTAAAAAAACAATGGACACAATGAAACCTCAGAGAATCTTTTCTGTACGCCCAACTGATTAAAATGACCTTTTCGAACACTTAGTAAGATCAAGTAACTAAAAACAATCATGGGTGATCTTTCTGAAGTTTACACGAGAAAATACCAAAGCAATTTTATAACCGAATGAAGAACACAATGTTCTAGTAATCCTATCATTTCTTAAGATAATAATTGATTAATTTATACCTAATCATACGATTTCAATAAAAATTACCCTGGTTCATGTGTACAATAGATATTTTCTAAGAAAATAAAATAAAATAAGACATGAGAATAATATCAATTTTGTATCATCATGCTGTAATACCAAAAGTACTACAGACACTAGAATTCATCGACGAACTAATCAGACCGAAGATATAGAATCATAGATTTTGGGGGAAAATTCATCCATCCATAGAAATGATTTGCCTTTTTGTTAATAATTGATATCAGTTTATGGTAAAAACGCTAATCTGATTGCTAACATTAACTTCTCAAAGACAATTTAGTCTTGCTCAAAGTTCATCCATAAATTATACTCTCACCAAAACAATTACGATTAGATCACTTATCAATGGATTGTGAAACTTGTGGGTATATACTGTATGCAGTGACGTCCAACTATTTCAATCTGAACCACATGATGATTGATTTGCATATGTAACAGTAACGTTAGCAACTAGTATTGAAACGACTTGGTAACCATACGGTAACCCAACTTATATTAATCCACGATTAATATCAGCTACAAGTGTTGAGATGAAATAAATAGAACTGTTATCCTAAGAAAATACTGTATTTTTCTACTATACAAATAAATAAGACAAGTTGAGACGGAAGTATTGATCCAAACCTCAAAATAAAACAGTTCCCCCTTTTCTTTTCTAAATTGTTATGATAAAGAACAACTAAATTTCAAGTAGGATTCTTTCAGGAAACTCTACTCATATGTAACCAATCCAAGAGAGAGAGAGATGTCAAATATACAACTCAGTAATTTAATCATATCTGTTAGTTACAACATTTTAATCTACTTGGGTTGCCAATTATATACATCCACTCGATTATTGATTAATTAATGTTAAATGGTGTCTAGTGTAGTATCGGGTGCTATGTCAAGCCCACATTGCCTATTTTAGCTTCCGGACAGGCCAATTTATTGATTCTTCTTGAGCCACATTTTGACCTTGTTAATCATTCGCTTGCCAAACTTGACTTTTTTATGTGAGTTTATGTGTATGCATCCCTTATCTTATTCATCGCATGTCTGTAGCTTATTTCGTTCTGACTAAATATTGAGTAACGCTTAATTAGAGTTGGCTCACATAACATCTCCGATCCGTTTCGCTTCATTTCTCTGTCTGTCTGGATCAACGATTGCATGAAATATACATATTCGAAATCCATTCTTGTCTTTGACTTGTTTAATTCCAATATTCATTAACGCGAATTAAGTCGTTTTGGTTGAAATGTGTGGATTACCTTAATATAACCATCGACAAAAGTTTGTGTGCAGTAGATGGAACATGACTAACAGTGGAGTCCAGGACACCCGTTTCTTCCTATCTGAAGCTCATCAGCTGTATCTACATGTATCCCAGAGTTTATATTCACTTTCGGACTCGGACTCAATAACTCTCTCCAAACTACGGAGTCCGAATATCCGGAGTGCTCATTAACTCTGAGATGCAGGTACATCTGGTCAGTGAATTCAAAATATGACAACAATGAAATCGTGAATTCCACTGCTAACCATATTCTGTATATTCTGTACGAACATTGGTTGTTTTCACTCGCAATATTATTCTTAACTATTTTGTTTACCAATTAATAAGTAATACTTTATAGTTGAATATTTTGTATACAAAGGAATAGCTTTAATTTCCTACCATATACCCACAAATACTCAGTGTTATTATATATATCACACCAAACAAAGATAAGAGAATTAACCTGACCTACTATTGATTATGAATATTGATAAATAAAGAAGAATGCTGAAAATTAATAATTTGACTATTGGCTTCATTTAACCCTTTTACCTGTCGTTCGATCGCTTTCACGAATAAATAATTCACACACATGAACGCACATACAAGCAAATACATAACTTAAAGTGTAAAGAAAAACAGAGGTGGGACAAAGAAAAATAAGTGGATAACAGTAACATAACTCGTTATTATTATTATTATTGAGATCAACACTACTGAGTGACATAAACACGTAGGCGACAGATAGGTATCGTAATGATAAACAGAGTAGTAAGAGTAGTAGTTGCAGTAATAGTAGTAGTGGCCTTTTGACCATATTATGAAAGAAACAAAGAACGAAAAAGATTTGTTGCGTATATATGCATACACACACAACACAAGAAAAGTCATTATAAACACATATCCACACATACACGTTTTCTAAACCATTCATAAATAACAAATTTATCAATATACCTCACATATGTTTTCGTCAGTTATATGTACACACAAAGTCAGTAAAATTACGATGACTTAATCAATCCACTAACTAAAGTGATAAAGGTGATAATAAGAACAGAGTGAAGATGGTCGCACTCAAAAAAATAAAATTTAGGAAGAAAGTTGGCTAACATACATGGGTCTCAGACAGTTCGATTTTTATGCCTATAGTTTAGATGTAACAAGCAAATTTACTCAAACACACATATATCGACACGTAAGGATGAGGACGCACGTATATCATATGCAAGTAAGTAATAAAAGTCAGACAAAGTGATGAATGCAACAAAACAAAAATAAGACTTATTTTTTGGAAAACATATTTACTTCAACATAAACCAGTAATCGTCGTTAGTCATTTGTACTTATGATAACAATGAAAAAGAAAATAACATTTTGAAAGTAATATTTCTAGTGTTATGAGACTTTATGTAATGAGTTGAAAACTACGAAGGAATATAAAAAAGCCAGGGGGATTAGTCAATAATTTTCTGGTGAATGATTTAAAAGTATAAAACACCGCGTAAAAAGTGTATCATTATTAAATACACATTCTACTTATTTACAACGTTGGACTATAATTACCTATAAAATTCAAACGACACCATAATTTATTACATAGCTTAGAACTAATAGATAAAAACTTTAAGCCTAATATTTATAGTATTGTCCATGTAAGTAAGTAGCCTAATTAGGTCGAGAAATACTCATTTGTGAATGAAAATTTAGGGGTCACATAAATGTTTATGTATTGAACTGTGAACACCGACTGATAGAAGCTTGATAATGATAAAAATAATAATAACAATAATAGGCTTACGAAATTCTAGTAAAGCGAATAAAATTCATATTGATAACACATTAATCAAGTCCCTTGACCAATGAGACACAAAATGTTGCCAAGTTAGTTGAAAACACCATTGAGTCGAAGACGCTTGTCTGAATGCACTTGAATATCTAATTAGCATATTATTTATCTTCAAATAATTAATATATACATAAATATTTTTAACAGAAAATACTCATTTGTTTATAGACGTAACTTTGATATTTTTGACTTTTGACGTCATGCAAAATTAATCAAATACTGGATCTTTCATTATTGAATGAAATGATTGATTGATGATTGCATATTAGATAAATTAATATTGACAACATAAATAAACATTTCAAATAGAGAATTTTCACCTAAGAAATAAACATCTTTTTTAAAAAAGAAAATGAATAAGAGGGTAAATACAATTTGGTCATTAATCTTACCACAGGTTTACATGGTAATATTTATTGTTTAAACAGCATAGACAGTTTATTTGTAAGTAAAGAATTTGTACACCATAAAATTACTATTCTCTACATAATATTACGGGCTGAGCATAGTTTCAAAATGATTTGTGATTTGATTGGTTATGATAACTTGTTTACAGGGTTTTAAACGGTAATCGGTTTATCTGTCAAAAACCGTGTTTAACCTACTGGCATGAATTTACACTATGCATATACATTGATGAACAGTTCATGGTATACATACACATGAGAATGATCAGTGATTATTTCTTCCAAGTCAATCTATGAAAGTTTCGGGAGATTTTCAAGTTTCAAAGATATACAAAAAACGTAGTAATAACAGAATTGATAAATAAGCTGAAGAAAAAAACACTTATAAAGTGCATTTATTGATAATAGTCTGGATCGTTCATCGCAAGATATTTGCTGTAATATTGTTTTTCAAAAGAATACGAAAATGATATTTTCTCGGAGAATTTCTTCAATCAAAATATTCTAGATTTCAATAAAGGTACATAACACAGTGACATAATATCTTAAATTTATAAACTTTTAATCTAGTAGAATATGAATCGATATTAACCACCACAAACTAACTATGAAAATACGACTTATTAATTACCATATTTTAATAACAAATTAGCTTCTCTGTCATCAACATTTTCAAAATAATAACCCATCAAAATAACAAAAAAAGATGAATTAATTTGAATGTTTAGCCAATCAACAAATAATTTACCTGATCTAAATACATTTTCAAACAAAAAACACCAATGGTGAAAATAACTAAGACCATTTAGATTTACATTATGGATTGACGTAGGTTAAACAACTAGTGGAAAACCAAGAATTACTAGACAGTTGGTTCAGTTTAGTATAGGACTCCCGAATAATATAAATCTGTGATGTCACGAAACAGATGCCTAGTGCCTAATTGTTTTAAATGATTTATCTCACTAAAGTCGATCTGTGATATGTTACCTCGAATTCAACAGTCTTCACAACATTCCATGATAACAAATTAATGATACTTAAAGTTTGGATTACTAGATAAATATTTAACTGTATGGAGGTAGTATACGTGGAAGGTAATTTTCAGGCATGAATTGATATCAATTAAAGAACGACAGATCAAAATGCCACTTTAAGACTAGGTT